GCCATTTTCTTAGTTTTTGAACCCTTATTTCTGTGTATCTATATTTAGTTTTCCTGGTATAGCACTCCCTTCAGAACTTCTTGGGCGATGGTGGTCTGGTGTTGGTAAATTCTTCCAGGTTTTGTTTATCAGAGAATGTTCGTGTCTTTTCTTCCCATATGAAGGATAATAAATAAAATAATTCTTAAAAATATTATATTTTGGGGACAGCAGGTGGCGTGGTGGTTAAGGGTGCTGAACTCTCACCAGACCTACCACGGTTCGAATCCCAGACCTGAAGGCTAACTTTCTCACTTTCCCTCTCTTTTTCTTGCTCTGTCCCTCTCTGATTAAATTAAAACAAAATGAATAAATAAAGTTAAATAAAATAATTCTTTTTTAAAAATGCTGGATATGTGTGCATGTGCACCCAAAATTACGGAAGAGAATGGAGGAGAAGGGACTGTGGTGTGGCCATCCCTGCTGGGGGAGGGGAGGAATTTCTCACTTTCCCTCTCTTTCTGTCTCTCTTTCTTTCCCCAGCAAGCACACATGACCCAATTTTATAAAGTAAAATTTGTATTATAAATTATAAATAAATGTGCTCTTTATTCTTATCATGTTACTGGAAAAAAGCAGGAATCAATTAGCCTTCTACTTAACAAATCTTTTTTTTTTAACCAAAAAGGGGATATTTTCTCTGATTTAAAAACACATTAAATGAAGGGATAGCTGGAGGCACGGTAGGTAAGGTGCTGGACTCCCACTGGTCTACCGTGGTTCGATTCCCAGACCTGGTGGCTGGCTTTCTCACTTTCCATCTCTCTCTGTCTCTCTCTGGTCAAGTTAAAAAATAATCATAATAAATAAAATTAAATACATAATTTAAAAAAATACAAAAAAATCCCACATTTTTTGAAACTGATTAAAACATATCAGTGTTCATACTTAAACAATCGAGAATCACGTTTTCTTACCATCCTCTAGAGTATGCTGTGTCACATGATCAGACATCTGGCTGGCTCCCATTGGCATATATGCCACAATGTAGAAAGTGTAATTGCTAGCAGGTTCTAAGTCATCAATAATATAATGAGTTGTGTCATTTCCGATGACGACTTGGTACTCTTCATTATTTAAACCTAGATTTAGAAATCCATGTTTTGAAATTAGGAATAGATAAAGTGAAATTAGCAAGATCATGTGCCCCTTGTGAAATTAGCAAACTCATGTGCCCCTGTGTTGGGTCTAATCTCCATCTGTTATTTTTTGTGTCCTTTCACAAAATGTGAACAGGAAGGTCTTTATTTTCTAAAAGTAACCATGTCTTGCTACAAATTACTAGCCTGCAGTTTTTCCCTGAATAAATCAAACAGAAAAGAATCAATCTTCTCTAAACGTCATTCACCATCTAGTTGAAACCCACGGCTGAGAGGATGTATCAGAGCAGAGCCCAACACAGCAGAGGCTGTAATTCACACCGTGTCAATTTTACTTGCTTAAACTCAGGGTTTCTTCTTTTCTCCTAAACATAACACAGAGAGACAGTAGGGAATGCAAAGGCTCTATTCTTTATAAAAACAAACCAACCAAAAGTTGTCCTGCGAAAGATCTCATTTTGCCCCTAGAGATTCCATTCAATTTGACGGACACGGTTGTTCTTTTATTTATCCTGAAAGCAAAAGGACTTAGAGAGGCCCAGAAAGTGCTTCAAAATGCTTTGTCCCACAGCGAGCTTTTATTATTTTTTTTAAGAGAAAAAAAAATTCTCAGCAATTCTTAATAAAATATGCATGACAAGGTTATAGAAGAGGATTTGTCTTTGTGAGCTTTAATTCCTACAGAGCAAACCTGTAAAGTGGAACAAGAGCACCGCAGCGACTCTGCTCAGCTAACAATCCACAGTAAATGCACGTCAACTTAATCAAAACTCTCTAAGGACGCGGTCCCTTCTCCCCACACTGGATTTATAAACAAAACAGAAGGCAAATTCCAATACTAAGTTTTCCCACATTTCTGAATTAACTTGATAGCATTTTAATTAGACAAGATTACAGGCATTTCACAACAGACTGGCTAATGGTTCGTTAATTAGGAACTGCATAGTACGATTTCTGACCTACCAAACAAGGTCCTCGAGTTCGAATTAAAAAGCCTTGTTCAGTCCCTGAATAGACACTGAGCCACATGTGGAGACGCTAATGAAACAACCATAATAGGAACAAGAGTGGTCTTCACCAAAGCCAGCATTCCTTTTACCTTCCTAAATCACTAAAAAGGGAATTAACATACTCCAACATGCTCAGTTATCAGACTTTCATTCTTCTTGCTACCATGACCCCTGATTTACATTCAAAATATTCCTTTTCAAAACACCACTTCAAAGTACAAAACACTAACAACAACAGCAACAACAAACCATGTGTTTCTATAGATAATTTTATCACCATTCTTTGGGTGCTGGAATTTGTTTTTAATGTACATTGCATAAAAGGTAGGCTGTTTGTGTAAAGAACGAAGGCTGTAAACCCCTATCATGCTTCTATGAAAAATTAATAGCAAAATCTCTAGGACTTAGAAGTAGATTTTCTTTTTCTACAAAGATTTTTGTCAAAAGTAAAACATAAGGATTTCAAAAAAGGTCCAAAAAATGGGACCGAAAATCTGAATAAAAATTTTAAGACAGATTTAATTTCTACTTGACATAATAAGTACGATACCAACAGGGAATGTCCTGCTCAATTGTCAGAGTTCTACATGACTGCAGAAAACATTAAAAATAGACAAAATCAAGTATTTAGGGAATCTGATAACGTGTACCTTCCCTCTGAAAAACAACACACTACAGTGTCTACAGTTTACTGTATTATTTTACTTAACAGAACAAGTTAGCTTTAGTTAGCCTTAAATTGGTGCAGTGCCTTAAGTCTCAGTTAAGGTTAACTTATACCTTGGCTGGAATGAAAAGCAGAGCATACCATTTCATAATTTTTAACAGGCAGAGAAGTTTTACATTAGCTAGTACTTGTTTCTAAACAAGAACTCTTTTTCTCTCTTCCATGAAGGTGACACCTCCCCAACAGCGTTTTTTTGTTTTGGTTTTTGTTTTTGAGAGATTTTTGCTATAGGGCGCTTGTGCTCACTGGTGAGACAGAGTGGCAGAGAAAGAGAAAGTGAGAAAACAACCCCTTTGGGGGGGATGGCCAGGCCATAATCCCTTCCCCTTCATTCTCCCATGAGGATTTTGGGCATGCATGCACAGGTGCCCTGCGTGTATCAAGCCACCAGGTCCGGGACTCAAACTACAGTTGACCATGTGAGATTCCAGAGCCTTAACCACCATACCACCTGCTGATCTCCCCAACAGGGTTTAATACCATGACCTACCCTCAGCCTAAGACAGTCCACAACATGGGGACCTAAGTGTATATACACCTAGCATAAACAGAAAAATCTTAAACTAAACTTACATATACAAAGTATACAACAATACAAAATTTAGGGGAAAAATAAATATGTAAGTGATGGGCTATTTTATTAAAGAGATAAATGCCACAGAATTTCAAAAAAATTTTTGGAATATGTAAGACATCATCCCATGGTGCAGGCAGGTGGCGTGGTGGTCAAAGGTGCTGGTCCCACATGGCTGACCGTGGTTTGAGTACAGGACCTGGCAGCTTGGTCTCTCTCTCTCTCTCTCTCTCTCTCTGAGTCCCTCTCTAGTCAAATTAAAATAAGTAAATAAATAAATAAAGTTAAATAAAATAATCTTAAAAAAAAGGCATCATTCCTATGACGAACAAATCTTTGAGAGCAAACAACACTTAAAAATAAACCCTCCTCAAATTACTTACCTTCCGCTTTCATGTAGTGCACAGAATAAGCGATGACTTTGTCTGAGTTATAAAGTGGCCTCTCCCATGCTAAGAGGATGGCTGAGCTTGACATGGTTTCAGCGTGGACGTTATAAGGAGCACTGGGCCTGTCTTCTGACATTACTACAGTCAGCCTGGCTCTAGATAAAATGGATCCTTGGCTATTCTCAGCCATACACTGATAAATAGCATCGTCTTCAGGAATAATCTGATTAATTACCAATTTGCTGAGGAAAGAAAAGATCATTTATTTCCATGAAAAATTCTAAGAGTGATGTAAAAACCAAGCTTAGCCACTGCTACAGGTACTACCATTTTAAGTGACAAAAGTTACTGAGAACAAAAACTTGTAATTGCTCGCACGGACAAATATTCCATATTAGTTATTTAAAATGACTCTTGATTTTCTGAATCTATATAGGTATCTGTGATAGGTAAGTCCTATTTGCTTTAGAAAATTTAATCTCTTTTCAAAGATTTTTTTTGTTAAGAAAGTATATTACTGTGCAATAGCATCTAATTTATATAATATCACAACAGATATATAGAATTTAAGTCATTTTTTTTTTGGCTAGAGAGTGAAGCACTCACTACAGAAGACAGAAAGAGAAACAGAGCGAGGGAGAGTCACAGGGCGATCCGTTCTCCTCCACCTCTCCGTCTTTTCAGGATCTGGGGCGCACACACACGTGCCCTGCATGTCTCTCAGGCTGCCAGGCCTAGGACTCAGATTACTCAGCTGGCCATGTAAGCTCTGTCTGGCTTTACCACCAGGCCACAGAGCCAACCCAGGTTAACAAAACATTGAAAAGTTTTATGTAACATAAGTGAGAATATTAAAGAATTCATATTTATACTAATCAAAGTGAATTCTTAAAATCATTACTTTTTTTTTTTTTTGAGAGGTTTTTGCTATAGGGTGCGTGTGCTTGACAGAAAGACAGAGAGAGAGAAAGTGAGAAATCACCCCTCCAGGGGGATGGCCATGCTGCAATCCCTTCTCCTCCATTCTCCTCTCGGGATCTTAGGCACACATGACCTTAGGCACGCACGCCCACGTGCCCAGCGTGAGTTTAAGCCACTGGGTATGGGACTCGAACCACGCTCGACTACATAGGAGCCCAGCAACATAGCCATTACGCTAACTGCTGGTCCCAAAATCATTAAGCTTGAACTGTGGAGGAATTCTCAGAGAATATTTTAAAATTTATTTATTTTTAATTATATTTATTATCATTATTCTTCAATTTTGACCAGGGAGAAACAGACAGAGAGAAATGGAGAGTCAGAAAGCAAGCTGCCAAGTCTAGGACTTGAACTGTGGTTGGCTAAGTGGGAGTCCAGCACGTCAACCACTACACCATCTGCCGGCCCCAGAGAAACTTTTTTTTCTATATCCTTCCTATTATGGAAGAAGGAGCTGATACCATAAAGGGTTAAAATGCTTGCTTGTGGTAACTTAGCAAGCGGCTTACCAGAACTAGAATCTGGTGAAGTGTCCACATTTATTTCATAATAACTGACCACTTCTGTGATCCAGGTATAAAATATGAAAGAATCTATGGGCATGCAGATGTGTAAATCCTAATGTCCTATTCAGAATGAACAATTGATATAATTTACGTGTTTGATATCACAACAGCCATTTCACATAAAAATTACTAGGCCCATTATATCAGTAGCAGTGAATGGCCTACCTGTTGTACATTTTAATTCTGCCATTTGAATGTATCTTCCTGCCGTTTTTCAGCCATGACATTTTGGGTGAGGGGATTCCTTCTGCCTGACACACAAACCGAGCGGTGCCAGCTCGAGGCCTTGTTAAACTTTCTGGCCATTCGACAAATGAAGGAGGAGCTGTTTTTAAAAGAAAACAGAAAATATTTCTGTGGTCCCAACAGGAATGACACAGAGCCACGGAAGAAAGTACAGCAAATGAAACGAGTCCAGTGCTGAAAATGGTTGCCATCCTGGGCCTCCTGTCTCCATACTCGCATCCATCCAGATGCCATCTCGCTGCACTGCTCAGCTGGCTCTGCTTTTTCCATAATTTCCCTACGGAGACCATTCATAGGACCACAACGAACATACATGTACCCGTGATCCTTCTTTTTTTTTGGGGGGGGCATGAAGTGGGTGGGTGGGTATAAGGTGCCTGCACTTACTGGAGAGAGAGGGGGAAAAAGAGAGAAAGTGAGAAGTACACCACCCAGGAGATGAACACATTGCAATCCCTTCTCTTCCACTCTCCTCTCGGGATTTTGGGTGGGGAAGGACATGTGCCCAGTATGTTTTTTTTTTTTTGTTTTTTTTTTTTTTGGAGGTTTTCGTTATAGAGTGTGTGCTATAGAAACAGATTGCTATAGGGCGCGTGCATTCGCCAGAAAGACAGACAGACAGAGAGATAGAAAGTGAGAAATCACCCCCCAGGGGGGATGGCCATGCCGCAATCCCTTCTCCTCCATTCTCCTCTTGGGATCTTGGGCACGCACACACACACGCCCGGAGTGAGTATAAGCCACCAGGTCCGGGACTCCAACCGCAGTCGACTACGTGGGAGTCCAGCGACATAGCCATTATGCTAACTGCTGGTCCCCCCAGTATGTTTTTCAAGCTGCTGCGTCCAGGTGTCGAACTGTGCAGTCAGCCATTGGGACACAGCCGCCTTAACCACCATGCCATTTTATGGGCCTTAACTGTGATACTTCTTAACCAAGCCTAATATAAGACCATATGTGAATGCATATAGATGATCAGTAGTAAAAATTTTAGGTTGGTGAATGGTTATATGGATTTGTGGTAGGATGAGGAGATAAAAAAGAAGTTTAAATAAAGAATAGAATGGTATGCATGCAAACAGGATGGTGATTTCAGGATGCTTCAATGGGTATATTTTAACATAGGGATTTCATTTTCTCCTAAGTTCACTGTTGGATTACACTGCTTTTTTATCAACTTTTCTATCAATGCTACAAAACTTAAGAAAGGTAGACAAACTGCTTAAGATAAAATGGCAAATGTGAAAATGTAGATTCTCCTGCTCACAGAGAGAAAGAAAACATACCTAATACAGTTAATGTCGCCATGGCAACTGTAAAGTTGCGTGTGCCGGGAGTAGTGGCCCGACAAACATATACTCCAGCATGTTGTAGTCTGACATCCGATATCATGAGATTACCATTTCCGAGTACCCGAGTATTAAAGACATCAATGGATTTGTGGTCTATTTCAAAGAGAATACTTCAGTTAAGACAATGTGACATATAATCTAAAACTGTGTCAAAATACCACTACATAAGTAATCCATCAGGGGAAGTAAAAAATTCTCCACATTAGAACATTTTCTCTCCACACTGAAATGCCAAAAAGTTCTAAGTCATTCCACTGCCAGACATGCTTCATGTATTTTATTTATTTATGTCGTTCATTTCATTGGAATAAACAAAGTTTAAGGAAGAGTTTTTTCTGAGAAGACTTACCAAGCCGGCTCCAAGAAATGATTGGTTTGGGATTTCCAGTGGCCATGCACTCTAAAACAATGGTCTGATGAAGAGATGCTGTCATGTTCTGTGGACCTGCTATAATGGTTGGGGTATGGAAGGATTCAGACTCCTTAGCTTTAGGGAGGAAAAAGAGAATATAAACATAAATTCAAAGAAGATGTAAGTGAAATGTGTTAAAATATCTATTCTTAAATTACCATTCCTTTCTTCCTTTTAAAACCAACTTTATTGAGATATAACTCACATACCATATATATAATTTGTCCATTTGAAGTGTACAATTCAATGATTTTCAGACTTTTCAGGGTTGTGCAACTATTACCACAATTGTTTTTAGAACATTTTCATCATCCCAAGAAGAAACCCCAGCAATCCTCTCTCCACAGCCTGGTAAATACTACTCTACTTTCTGTCTCTCAGGATTGTCTATAGTAAGCATTTTCTATAGCTGGAACCATACACTTATGGTCTTTGGTGACTGGTTTCTTTCTTTCTTTTTTTTGGAGAAGTTTTTGGCTATAGGGCGCATGCGCTCACCAGAAAGACAGAGAGAGACAGAGAGACAGAAAGCGAGAAATCACCCCCCGCCCCCGGGGGATGGCCATGCTGCAATCCCTTCTCCTCCATTCTCCTCTCTGGATCTTGGGCATGCATGCACACGCGCCCGGCACGAATTTAAGCCATCGGGTCCGGGACTTGAACCGCAGTCGACTACATGGGAGTCCAGCGACATAGCCATTACGCTAACTGCTGGTCCCCTGACTGGTTTCTTCTCAGTGAGCATAATTTATGAGGGTCATCTATGTTTTAGCATGTTACCAGAACCTCATTCCTTTTTACTGAATGACAATAATTGAATAATATTTAACTCTATGGCCATGACACATTTTATTGACCCATTTATCAATTGATAGTTAAATTCAAGTCACAGACCTGGTGGCTTTAAAATCACCCAGGGCCCATGTGTGTGCATGCTAAAAATCCCAGGAGAAGAGTGGAGGAGAAGGGATTGCAGCATGGCCATCCCCCTTGGGGAGTGATTTCTCACTTTCCTTCTCACTGTCTCTGTCTCTTGCTCTTTCTCTCTCTGGTGAAGGCACATGCCCTAAAGCAAAAAGCTGTATAACAACTACAGTAAAGAAGTGAGTGCTGTGTGGTTATCCCCCCAGGGAGTGATTTTTCAGTTTTTCTCTCTCTGTCTATCTCTGTCTCTCTCTAGTGAGTGAATGTGCCCTATGACAAAAACCTTAAAAAGTAAAATAAAATTTAAAAAACTTTAAAAATTAATTAATTTTAACTTTAAATTTAAAATTAATTAACTTTAAATTTAAAAATAATCTACATGATGGTGGGAAAGAAAGAAGTGTGAGAATGCTCTTGTGGTTATCTTTCATAACAAGAAGCTAACAAACAAACAAACAAACGAAAAAAAAAAGGGAACCAGCAGTTAGCGTAATGGCTATGTCGCTGGACTCCCGCGTAGTCGACCATGGTTCACGTCTCGGACCCGGTGGCTTAAAACTCACGCCGGGCACGTGTGCGTGCGTGCCCGGCACGTGTGCTTGCCAGAGAGCGACAGAAAGAAGGAAACACAAAAAAGGAAAGTACAAAAACTAAAGTGAAAAATGTATGAAACAAATATTCTATCTTTCTTAAAGAAGTGGACATAAAATAACAGAAAACAAGTTAGCCTATGAAGTAAGAGTTGCTTAATAGATTACAATGACCATGTTCCAAGTAGATTGCAGTAAATTAAATGAAATTAAAATACTAGGTGATGGCATACTGTTGGAGCCTGAGGAGAAAAAGTAACAGCTGGGCCAAGTCATAAAAATGGAAAAAGTCACTTCTGTGTGGTACCTGGATTCACCATCAGAGAGGCCTCCATGCTCTTCCGTCTGTGTGCTACAGTAGTGGCCACACAACGGTAATTCCCAGCATCCCTTTGGCCAACATCATAGATCTGCAATACTCCTGTTGGTAGGATAGTTATCCTGTCATAAGAAGAAAGACAATTAAACTTCTGTAGTACATTTTATATTTTGTTTACCTTATCCTATAACAGAAATAAAATACAACCAATCGTTTTTTACAGTGCTAATATTTTAAATCTCCTTTAAAATATTAATTGATTCTACAGTTTTCATCTGGGTCACTATAGCCTTGTGAAACATAAATAATTCTGCATGACGTGGTTGGTGAAATCTATAAGTCTAATTTTACAGAGTTTCATTTGGCAGTCTAACTTAGACTTAGCTAACTCAGAGCTCAGAGCTTTATATGATTTTTTTCAAATTCCTAATTTTTTACCTATTAATAACATATTTTCCAGGATATGGTTGGATATAATTAATAAAAAATGAAGCACTTCCTTGAGTAACTTCTTTCATCTTAGTACTCTTTTTCTTTCTTTCTTTCTTTCTTTCTTTCTTTCTTTCTTTCTTTCTTTCTTTCTTTCTTTCTTTCTTTTTTTAACATTTGTTATAGGGCATGTATGTTCCTGAGAGAGAGCAAGAGAGCGAGCAAGAGAGAGAGAGAGAGAGATCATCACCAAGAGGGATATCCATGCTGCAAACCCTTCTCTTCTTGGGGTTCTGGAATGTATGCACATGTGACTGGTCTGTTTTTCAAGCCTCTGGGTCTGGGACTTGAACTGTGCAGTTGGCCATGTGGGATCCAGCATCTTAACCATCTCACCATGACTAGACCAGTACTCTATCATTTTAGCAAATGATTTCTGCCTAGTTAGGAGCAAGGCAGGAATGAAACTTTCTGGAGTTGCTACCAAGATCTTGGTCCTAGATCCCAACTACTCTCAGTGCACCAGGCCTGGGCATGTGTGCCTGTGTTCGTGTGTATAGAGTGAAGAGGGGGCTGGGAAATTTAAGGCAGAGATCAGAGTGGTCTGCTACCAGGAACACTGCTTTTTCCAGTGGTAAAGGTACCATTTAGTTTCCTAAAACTTTGGGCTACAATCCAGATACGCAGATGGTCCCATAGCAGAAACAGATGGTTGAAAAAAGGAACAAAGCATTAGGATAATCTGTCTGAATTGTGATTCGAACCAGGAGCCACAGTCTGTGTGCCAAAGTCTAATGATCTAATATTTTGCTCAAGTATAAAATGCCTCAATAAATCAGTTATTGCCATCCTACATGAAAATTAATTTTTTTCAAATTTGCTATCAGGTGCATGTACTCACTGGAGAGAGAGGAAGAGAGAGAGAGAGAGAGAAAGAACCCCCCAGGGGAGATGGCCACACTTCAATCTCTTCTTCTCCTATTTCTCCCCCGTCTTGGAATTTTGGGCACACAGGCACAGGTGCCTGGTGTATTTTTCAAGCTACCAGGTGGGACTCAATTGCACAGTCATATGGAATCCAGCCACCTTAATCAATATAACTCCAGATGGCCTGGAAATGAATTCTTTAACAGTCTTTCTCTCTCTCTCTCTTTTTTTTTTTTTTTTTGAGAGGTTTTCTCT